TAATGTAGCTCTCTTTTTTCCAGTTCTATCAGACTATACCCCTTTAATAAGCATCTTAGAAAACCAATGTTTTCTAAGTATCACATGTGAATTACAGTCTCTGTTCTTTTTCTCACCCCAGTCTGTGGATTGGTCAACTTCTCATTTAGCAAACTTCTACTGAGCATGTTCTAGGTGCCAGGCAAATGGTAGGTATCATAGGAGATGTGCATATCAATGGGAAAAAATGTTTTCTTTCTTCAAATTCCAAGAGTCCGGTTGCAGAAACATGCATATTTATAATTAGTTACAAAAAAAGTAGCTCGTAACATTATGGTAGAATAAATACAGTTTCCTCTAAAGCCACCTTACTCTTATGCTTACATCTGATGCAGCTCAAGTCCCAACTTCTCTTAAAAGCTACTACTGATCTTGGTTTAGAGTGATTTTCTTTTCCTGCTGCACTTTGTAGTACATTTGTTCTATAGAACTCTTGTGACACTTCATATACACAAACATAACTTTTCATATTTTAAAAATATAGGCTATGCATGTCTTCTCAATTTTATCTTTTTAAAATGTGATCTTATCCTATATTTCTTGATTTTTCTAGAAATCATGTTATTCATTATTTTATTCATTCATGATTTACTATTAATTCATTCAGTTGTTTCAGCATCATGTCAGGTACTGGGAAGAGGAGCAGGAAGTAAAACACAGAAACAACTAAAACAATCAACTCCTAGTCTTAATGACTTTATAATTCAGCAGGGAAGATGTGTCAAATAACAATAACACAAGACAATCTTTAATAAACACAGGAATATAAGTAGGCATACCATCAAAGTGTGCCTTGAAGAACAAATAGGAGATTGACAGATGCAGAAATAGATGAGGAAAGAAATGGATGTTGTTCTCTATTGAAAAAAGAGAATGAATAATAAAGTAGATATAGGAACTTTGGGATCAGCTCCAAAAGCAACCATTTTTTTTTACTTTAGTTTGAATTTCAAGCAGAAACTGTAAAAACAAGCTAGGAGAAGGCTTAACATAGACAAGTTGGTACCAGAAGGTGGAGGGATATAGAAATTTGAGCTTTAATCAATTGGCTTTGGATTGGGGGAATGGAAGTGGGAAAGGGTGATTGAAGGCTTTCAGCCAGGTGGTATTGTGGTCAGAATTTTGGTTAAAATGATGAATAACACAGTAGAACTGGAATGGGGAGAGACAACCAACAGAGAGATTTAGGAAGCTGGTGCAGTAAATGGAAGGAGAAAGAGAAAGATACTCAGGATCTGGCCAAGCCTCCTCTGATACCTGAAACACAGATGGTATGTGTTACTTTTCACTGAGCACAGAGGCAGAAAGAGAGTTACAGAAAGAGAGGAGTAAGTGTAATATTGGATGCAATAGCTGGACATGGGCAACAGGAAGAGAACCCAAGATGAATTGATCTCGTAGCTGTGAAGTCTTGCATCAAAATATTTCTGTAAGTCCACTCTCTCTGTTCCCCAAAAATACACAATTTGCTCTTTCTTCTTTGCTACTTTTATTCTGCTGTTAACTCTCTCTCCTATTTTTCTAGATCCTAAATAAGAGTTTCATGCAATTGCTCTTTCCCATATTATTCACCTGGGGATCTTATTGCTTAATCTTTCTAAACGATTCTGAGATAAAATCTCCTTAGGAATTAACATTGTCACATAGTAGAGACCACAGCGAGGGAGTATCATGTTCCCATCAGTGTTGGCCAAGAAAACACCCAGCAATGGGACATTTTATTCAAATCCCAGAAAACAAAAGTTTCATAATAAGGCCAGTGATTTCAATTAAGAGTTCATTAAAGAGCTGACTCCCAGCACACACCTTTATTACCTTAATTACCTTTATTCTTTGATTCTTCACTCTGAAAATGGGACTAAACCACAGCCCTTGTCATTCCCTAGACACAGAGATTTGAAAGCTCTCAACTCCATTACAGCTTCATCTCAGATCAATGAGGTGACCTTGGAAGAAACCCACTTTCCAGTGCTTCAGTTTCCTTGCAAACAACATGGGAATGCTACCAAGTTTTCATACTTGACAAGAAGCACAAGGGCAAAGCCCTCTGAGGACATAAGGTGCTAAGTAACAACAAACAAGATGGAATATGTAATTCAATCAATCATGCCCTGACACTGGCTGTGCCTATTTATTATTACTTTTCAATTTCTAAAGTGATGGCAAAATGGAATTTCCACTAATTTTTCAAGAACCTGAATCTGATTCTTATAATCCAGGGCTTTATGTTGCTGATATATTGTAGATATAATTTTTGTGTGTTCCAAGAGGCTTTCTGCTCACAGGGCATTGCTGTAAGTTGTAGGTAATTTATTTTCCCCTGCTATTATATTGTGTAAATTACCATGTTGGCAATATTTTAGCCTTTCACACTTTGAATCAGTGCCCAGAATAATTCTAACAAGATTTTGATTCTCCGGAAGCAACCTCAAGGAAGAAAGCCCTTCAAAATGCCTGCGTATTCATTTAAGCTTCAGTTGAGAGAAACATCTCCTCCAGGTCAAGTGTAAGGTGCACCTGAAGGGTAAGTGATACTTATCTCATCTCCCTGCTGATATCTATATCCTCCTCTGCTGCCAGGAACAATTGTAAGGCCTTGTCAGCTGAGCATGCATCCCCCCGCATTTCCACCTCAGGATGCAAGTCTAGAATTGGAACACAGTTTGAAGCCTACCAGAAACCTCAAAGAAGAATTTGATTCCAGAGGTCCAGCCACATAACCAAGTCTGCAGTTTAGGTTTATCACCCAAAGGAGATATTTTGGTTTTCAGCCAGGAAATGCCTCATTTCTTAATACTAGAAGTTATCAGGAAAGGCCGACAATGGAAATCAGACTCCCGAGTGTTGGCAGACCAGGTGCTTGTGGTCACGGAAGGATTGCACACAACTTTTTCTTTGACATTTAATAAAGATATAGCCTCATATAAAAATAGGAAAAGAGGAAACAAACGGTTTCTACATTGTCTTACCTCCCACCATCCCACTTCTATCCAAGTTTAAAGGGAAAGAGTTTCTAGAACTCATTACTAGGACCCAAGAGACCCAAATATGCCTCCACCAACCTCTCCAAGACCAGGCACATAGCAGAAAAGTATGCTCTCCTTAGACTGTCTGCTCCAACCTTAACCATGTGACTGTTCTGGGAAGGTATTCTTTCTTAATATTCTTGTTCATAAGAATGTGGGATATTGTAAATAATGTGTTAACTTCATATGGGTGATGTGAGAGTTCAGTGAGCAAATGTGTGTGTGCCTTGCCCATCATATGTCACAATGAAAGTTATCAACTGTTACTATTCATAATGATATGTCAGGAACTCACATTTCTAATATCCAATACCATTCCCATTGGTATAACACCAAATATAAGGATATTCTAGCAATAGAAGGAAAGAGCTACATCTCAATATAGATGACTGTTTTTTCCTTAAGAACCTCCCACTCCAAGTGAGGATTGATTATGAACACCAGGGAGGGGTGGGCCCAACTATAGGGAAATAAATAGTCTCATTTCCCCTTCACATATTTCTCAGAAATACATTTCAACTTTTATTTGTTTTAGCTAAGCTCTTCTTTTATCTATTCATGCTCCAATCTAAAAATGCAGAAGTCGCTTGAGAAAGGAAAGAAAAGGCCTTTAGAAGTACTTTTAAATTTCTTCAAGTTTTCTAATGAACTTAATAAGCTCCCCAGATACATCTTACAAAGTAAAGAAACCTTCGAAAATATTAAAGTAATTTTGTTTTCTCCAGTGGTACAGAGCATTCTAGGTGACTAGTAAGATACATCATCATCAATTTTACAAGTGTTCAGTTAACAGTGAAGGGAAAAATCACAAGAGAAAACACTTTCTCTTTGATGTCTTTTAATATATTTGGATGGAGCTCTGTTGCAAGATTTTTCATTGGAGCAGTTTCTCTAAGTTTTCACCTCAAATTCCAGTTCAATGATGACAATTCCAAATGTTTCTCCTCTAAATGCCTGGCAGGCCAAGCAATTTTTGACACTTCCAGGAACTTATCAAGATTTTTGATCAAAGGAATAATATACTAAATTGAAATCACTGCCACTCTTTTTTGCTATCTTTAGTCATTCAGTGACTTACTCTGAGAAGGGTAGGGCTGTGGGCACCGAGACTAGAAGAAACAAGCGAAATAGCTTGAGTTTTGCCATCAATGTCATAAATCTCCTCCAAATGTCAAAAGACACATCAGAGTCCAGGACATAAGAAGCATAAAACCTGACCCACAGATCCATAGTCAGAAGCAGAATCTGAGAGGGAGTGCACCTTGCTGGTGACCAACTTCTTGTGACCATTCTTAACGTCTCATCGGCTTTCTGCAGACCACATTTCAAGAATTCCTTGCCCAAAGCTCGTAACAGGCAGGAATGTGGGTTTTTTTTTTTTCCTAACTCTCTAGTAAGACATAGTTTTATTTATTAAGCAGAATTTCTTTAACTGCAGTCCATGGGCCACTTATATCAATCTCATCCCAGTTGCTTGATTCAAACCCACATTCTGGGTCACGTGGGTGGTTCAAACCGACTTCGGCTTAGGTCATGATCTCACCGTTCGTGGGTTTGAGCTCCACATTGGACTCTGTATTGACAGCTCAGAGCCTGGAGCTTGCTTCATTCAGATTCTGTGTCTCCCTTTCTCTCTGCCCTTGCCCTCTGTTCTCTCTCTCTCCCTCTCTCTCTCTCTCTCTCTCAAAAATAAACATGAAAAAAATTTAAATCCAGATTCTTGGGCTGTCCTTCTAAACTTCTTCAACCAGAGTCCCTTGAAATAAGTCCTGAAAATCTGAATATTGAATAAACTATCTAGGTGGATTATAGGGAAGCTTGCATTTGGAATGAGAACTGACATTATGACCTAAGAATATCAAATCTACATGTATTCCTAATGTGTAGAATCATTTCCAAGGTGATACTGCAGGATTCTAAGAAAAAGAAGTCATGCCTGAAACTGCCCTCAAGCAACTGAAATGCAGCCTGATATGAGTATCTATAAAATAATAAGACTGCTTAGCCCTCAAAGGGATGAGAGCAAAGTCAGCGTCTTCATTAGGTAAGTGGCCAGCTGCCAGGTCACAGAGTTGTGTCACTGTTCTCTATTAAAACTGTTCCTAGCTTTGCCTTTTGAATGGAATTGAAAAGTTGTGGCTCTGGCCTCTATGGACAACGTAGATCTGCAAAACTGAGAGTGTTTTCTTTTTGAATATCCAGGAACTCATGTTTCTAATATCCACTAAAAAAGGTATGATGTTGGGGCGCCTGGGTGGCTTAGTTCGTTAAGCGTCCGACTTTCGCTTAGGTCATGATCTCGCGGTTCGTGGGTTCGAGCCCCGCGTCGGGCTCTGTGCTGACAGCTAGCTCAGAGCCTGGAGCCTGTTTCAGAGTCTGTGACTCCCTCTCTCTCTGACCCTCCCCTGCTCACGCTGTCTCTCTCTCTCTCTCTCTTAGAAATAAATAAAACATTAAAAAAAATAAAAATAAAAATAAAAAAGGTATGATGTTTAGACTCTTTGGAATGTTAGAACACAAGGAGGTGAGGCTATGTGTCTATCTTCTGCTTACACTGCTCACCACCCAAGTCTCTAGTGCCTGGAGGAGAGTCACACCTACAGCTTCAAGGTCTACTTGCTCTGAGAATACAATCAAGTTGGAACAGGGCTGGATAAAACAACTCTATCAATGTATTATGGAGACAAGAACTTCAAAGCCCATTTGGAGTCAAAGAATGAAGGAGACTACTTGCCCCACATGAGTCAATAATAAAACAGTACTCCAATCAGGTGTTTTCCTACATCATCTATCATTGAGGCTAGATGAGAAAACTGAGCTCCTTCTTTCTGGGACATAGAGAGTGACCTATAGGTAATATATTTGGTTCCTGGATTTTTAAAGGTGATGTCCATAAATGTTTAGATATGTCTCTGATTCAGCTTTCTGTATGAACACAACAGTTCATGGAGGTTTGTGCTCCCTACGTGGGATTTCTTATCTATAGATCAGAAAAGCAGAAGCCTAAGCTGGGATCTGCCTGAGCAGGGGGAGCTGCAGGGGCAGTGCAACAGGCTGATATGAGCTCTCTGTCCCTGTCAGAGCAGTTTCTCACTGAGCCAAGCCCCTGTCATCATGTGCCTTCATCTGTAGGAGAAGAGGCAACAATTCTGTAGAAAGGGGATATTTTAAACTATGCCTACAAAAGTGGAGAGCATAAAGATGAATATCTTCCAGGTAAATAGACCTCCAACATAAGCAAAAACATAAATAATGAGACTGATTCTGGAATAGATTCTTAGAGAAAATGAGAAAGATCTGGACCCTACCGGGAACCCCTTCTGCAGGATTAAGCAGGCGAACCAGAATACTTTTTTTTCCCACCTCTGAACAGTGGTTTCCATGACATCCACGGCACCTAGGAGCATAAATTCTACCAGAAAGAAACGATCATAAGGATGCTACCTGAAGCTACTACTAGTACTGCATTTCCAATTAGCTTGAATAATAAACAGAAAACAGCATGGTGTGAGAATACCTAGACTAATAATAACGCCACAACACTTGACACAATCCAAATCTTGAAACTATTTGAAAGTCCAGTTCATGGAAGTTCACTTTTCTTAATGAGACTGAGACTTATGATTGTCTTCCATTTCCCCTAATCCCAAGAGCACTTAGTGTTGAGTAGTCTGATAGCTCATAGTCTTTACATTAGGATAAAGCACTCACAAAAGATGCTATCACTGTTCATGAAAGAGTTTGGGAAAACTATTCTAAAGCAAAAGAGTCAAAGTCTGGTCCATGGACTCCTAGGGGTTCCTGTGACCCTTTCAGGGAAGGGGTGTTCATAGGACTAAAACTATTATTCTAATAACACTAGGAAGTTATTTGTATTTTCATTGTGTTGGTTATGCACTAATAGGTAAAATTGATGTAGCCCTAGTAAGAATAAAGTTAGTGGTACCAACATGTACTAGTAGTCATGGTATCTTCCCCACCAAAGAGTTGCAGAAATCAATAAATCAATTAAAAAGAATAAATGCTAGCTTCACTTAATAATGTCCTTTATCAAACAGTAACAATTAATTTCATTAAATCCTGACCATGGAATACATCTCTTCATGATACATTGTGTCATGAAATAAGAAGCACACATAAAGTATGCTGCTTACCAAAGAACAAAAGTTATTCAAGTAAAAGCACTGGTGTGATTGAGTCGTGAGAGTTGTGAGCTGTTGTAGCTCATTATTTCATGTAAAATCATTTCTACTTGAAAAACAATTGACCCAGCAACTATAGTTCCCATTTGGTCATTTGGCAATGCAGATTAATGAAGGCAGCTTTCAAACCAGGGAAAAACAAACGATAGTCTGTGCTTTTAATGAGACAGTTTTCAAGTGAACACGAGAACTTTGGAAAACTTGTAGCCACAGTGTGAGCTTGACAGTTTCCCAATACTTAAATACTTCTCTGCTGAGATCAGTGGTACTGTTAACAATGTTTTTATAGATCATATCACGAAATATGTGAATGTCTAGAAGAAATGATCGATCATGCATGAGACTACAAAATCATGCGTGGATATATAATCCAGTCAAAGTGCAAGATAGACTAGTGGATCATGAAAGAACAGAAGATTTAAAGGTTTATATTTAGTGTTTCAGGTTCTAGGTTTCAACTAATGTATAAGAAATTACCACTTGACAAATTTCAGTGTCACTTCAAGGAATATCTACAATGATCTGAAAATATATTAAATATTCCTCCTTTCCAAATATATATCTGTATGAGATCATTTTTTCTTCACACAGTTTACCCAACTAACAGACTGTAAGAAATGCAGAAGTAAATTTGAGAATCCAGTTGTCTTCTATTAAGTCAGTCTTTAAACATCTTCAAAAAATGCAAAATGTCACTTTTCTCACTATTTTTGTTCTAGAAAATATAGTGAATTTTTCACTAAAAATATATTTATACTAATGTGTAATAGGATTATTACTATTTTCAATAGAATAATAAAGAATTGTTTTAGAATTCTTTTTAGTTTTAATTTCTAATGTGGTATCAATTGTTATAACCCACATTTAATAAAAAAAAAAAAGGACAGCAACAAAGAAAACCTCTCTATAGCTCTCTGTAGCCCCCAGTAATTTTTAAGAGTGAAAAGAATTCCTAAAACCAAACAGTATTGAGAACATTGCCCTAAGTCAAGGGAGAAACAGTGGGTCTATTCCTCATTCCAAGACAATCAAGAAGAGGAGAGGAAAGGAACCAGAATAGCTAAGAGCAATGCAAACAATTTAAGAATCACTCTTAGTTTATATTCTCTAGCTGGTTAAATCACGAGACAGCTACCACCTTTTAGTGGCCCAGAGAAGAGCAAATGCTTAGAGGTCAGGAAATTCTGGGAGAACATGAGGGTATCGTTCTACAGAACTCAAAGGTGAGACCTCTTCCTTCTTAAACTAGAAAATCCATCACCTTTAATGGGAATTAAAGAAGAGGACAATGATTTCTAAGGAAAGAAGTAGCCAGGGTCTCCAAATCAGGGATGACAAAGGCAGGAAAGGCTGTCATGTGTCTGAGTGGAAAAGGAAGGCCATCCCAAAGAATGGTAAGAAAAGGGAAGAAAAGGCAAAACACTAGTATATGACACTTGTTTGGTGTAACATAAGCTCTGCCCTTCAAAAAAAATTTTTTTTAAGTTTATTTTTGGAAGAGACAGAGTGTGAGTGGGGAGGGGCAGAGAGAGGGGGAGACAAGAATTTGAAGCAGGCTCCAGACTCTGAACTGTTAGGACAAAGCCCGATGTGGGACTTGAATTCACAAGCTGTGAGATCATGATCTGAGCTGGTCAGGACTCTATCCTTTACATTCACTATCTTACTTAATTTATTTATTTAAGGGCAAGATCAAAATGTAGGTACTGTTATCACAGAAGCAGTAACCAAACATCCTTTGTGCAGATATCTTCTTCATAAACCCTTCTCCGAGTTCTTGAAGACACATGAAGATACTATACTAACTAAACTTCTCTGAACTCCTAGCACAGGACTAAGAATTAAGTGGAATTATTCATGCTTATTTTCTTTAATATATAGCTACTTATGAAAATACTTTGATATCTTTCCTTTGATATTTTGGATATATATTAGGTAGTATTATTACACTTTCAAATTGTGGGTACTTAAGGACACATGCAGAGCATTCTACATTTGCAGAAGACATAGTGAACAAAACAACAAAATGTACAAAATGCAAAACATAATGAGGTATGTCACAAGGGAATAGCACAAATATGAATACCTCTTATTAGGGATCATATCTGCAGCATTAAGCCTCTTAGAATCCACTTCTGGAAATTCATGGTTTAGTGCAAATGGGATAGATTCATGAATGTCCTGTATTGAGAACATTGAGCTGTTGCATGCACCATTGATTTATCCTCATATGTTATAAATATAAGTTATCCTTCCTGTCTGAAGGTCCTAATAGCCCAATACCTCTACACTTGGATCTAGAATTGTTTCAGCGGTAGGTAAGTGAATTTGCCTGTAGCTCTCTGTGTTCGCCTCTGTGCTGCTGATAACCAATAGGAGGAACCTGAGAACTGGATGCTAGTATTAAATGGTGTGCCCTCTGGCTATGGAACAAAGCTTACCTAAGTGGTCAATGTAGGAATCAAACATGCAAATGAGTTCTTGCTTAGTACTCGGTTGACACAGCCAGCATAATCAAAGAATCCTATGAAAAGCATGTTAGTGTATTAAAGCCCGACATCTTTATTAAATACCTACTTGCAGAGGCCATCATGCTGCTCATTGTCAAGTAATTAAACAGGCACCAATATTACGGGTGATTTTAGCTAATGTCAGAGGCATTCCTCTCATTAAAGTCTGCCTAATCGCTGCATCATGATTGCCCAAGAAAGTAAAATTCAAAATTGCTGAAGGCATTAAAAAAATCTATTTTCATATTGCCTAATTATCTGAGGTGTGAATATATATGATTTCACAATTTGGGGAGCAGAATATCCATGATGATTATATGCAGCAAATTTGTTTTATAGCTGTGAAGGAAAACTATCCCAAATCTAGAGGAAAAGTGTTTGTTCACATCTGTATTCAATATGTTGGGAATTCATTTACGCAAGTTTTGTGCATAAGTCCTAAGCACATTTTGCTGCCTTTTTACAACCAAAGACTAGTCAAATTTTTATCTTTCATTTCCTCCAAAATTCTTCAGTTTTCTTGGTTTAAGGAAAATGGTTTCTGCATGTAAAACTTCTTAAGCTCAATTTCACTGCACATGGCAGGCAGAATACATTTTTCAGAAGCTTAAAAATTTTCCCAAATAGCAAGTAAGTTCAACACACTCAGTTTGCTGTTTAGTTCTGCATAACTTTTTGTTATGTTAAGAAACATAATAGAAGATAAGTAAGTCCCATTACAAAATGTGCATTCTTCTAGTAATTTAGTAATAAGCTGCATTTATTGAACAAAATGTGTAAACAACAGTCAATCCTTTAGCAAGAATTTAACAAATCTCTACTATCTATGTATCATGGTCCTGAGCATTACAAGAGATCCAAAAATACAAAATCTGCCTCCCTTTAAGGACCTTATTAAGTATCAAGAGAAGTAAAGAGGAATGTGTCAGAATATTTTTGGCATGCTAAACTATAAAGGTTCTTATATATATCTTTTTAACATATTTTCTACATATTTTTTCTACATATTTTCTACCATTTCTCTTCTTTCTCCAACCATGCCCTCCATATTTGAATATTTAGCTAGGCATAAATGCTTCTGATTTTCACTTTACATATGAAATGTGACAGCATCAAGTAGAGGAAAAATACATTTCTTCCTAGTATTTTGATTTTCAAAAGACTAGTACTTACAAGAAAGTAAAAGATTCATAAGTAGATGAAAGATTTTGCAAAACACAAATACAAGTAAGTCTGTACTGTTCCCAGTCCTCATCCACCCAGGTTAGACTAGAATCCCTACGACTAGGATGGGGAGGAAGGGAACTGACAAAGGCAGACATAATGATGCATCCTCAAAAAGGATCACATATCCTGCATGAAAAATAGCAACATTCTAAGAAGGCTTGTGGGATCAGAAAGCAAGAGGCTAGCACCTTACTTCTCAGATAAAGACACAGAGAGGCATTAGGACTCCTTCCCAGATGAAGACATGGAGAGAAATGGCCACCTGTTGCACACTGGCAGACACTACCTTCTGCAGCCTCACTGGGATTTCTTCCCCTTTCATGGTGCAGGAGCACAGAATGGTGGCCACATGCCCAATGATGACATCAGGGCAGCAGAGAGAGCAATGGACCTGTGAGAGCCATATTGGTAGAGTACAGAAGTATCTTCAAAGCACCCTAATTCGAGGTGAATGTTAGCAGAAAATGCTGTCCCAAAATATGACTGTAGGAGCTCAGGACTTTCAACCCCAAACATGCTGCTGTTGTATATTGATTGTTTTAAACCACAGGTGTTTGGAAAATAGCAAATGCAGAGAAAAGCTTTCTCTGAACTCTCCTTATTACCTAAAGACAGATCTTCCAAAAAGAAGTTCACTTGTCACAAATCCCCTCCCCAGGAGTTTCAACAACCAGGGAAAATTGACTCTTACTATGGGAGAAGAGACTAGAAGTCAACACCACACCCAGACAAACTTTGTGTCACAAACTGTAATACCTGCCACCTATCCTTCTAAGAGCCCATTCATCCTTCCTAAAACTCATATACTGTTACCTAAGAGCCCTTTATCCTCCCTCACCTTTCCCTATCAAAATGGTATTTAAACTTAGAATTCTGAGCTACTGCAGAAACTTAATCATTTTCCCCTGGGTATCTCTCATGTATGCACGAAGTATACATGTCAATAAACTTGCTTTGTTTTTCTTTTGTTAGTCAGTTTTTGTCATAGGAGTCTCAGCCACAAACTCAGAAGGGTAGAAAGAAGATTATTTCTTCTCTTCTATCACTGAATGGCCAAACACTCAAAAGGGCAATGAATACTTTAGTGTACTTGAGTTTTGACACATTAACATTGAAGATCTAATGGCCCAACATTCACCAAAGGACTTCTCAAGTCTCTAGCCTCAGGTCCTATAGAATTTAGACAATACTGTGGGGAAAGGATAGTATAACTTTTCACTGGGGTTGTGCGTTTACCACCCCAATGAGACAGTCAAAAGGAAATTTTGCTAATTATAAGAAATGAAGAAAGTTGTACTTTTCCTATATTTTAAAATTGTGAGTTGATATTTACAACCAGCATTCTAGAGTAAAATCATTAGTACATAATTAGATCCTACTTTACAGAGAGCAAGAGCTGTGAGCTCTCACATTTATTGAAGGCCGCTTATGTACCTCCAATGAACATAGGTCACTCTTTAAAATTTATCTGGGAGGGTTTCACAAGAGACAATAAGCCTGAACTGAACATTCAAAGACGGGCAATGTTTAGGGAAGTTGGTCATCAAAAAGGGAAATTTACTGAGAGAAACAGAAAGAGCAAAGAAAAAAGGAGAAAATGGGATCAGCATTACATGTCACAGAGTAAGGACAGTGGCCAGCTAGGAATAGAACATGTATGGATGTAGAATAAAATGAAATTTTTAACTAAGGATAGTAAGGTCCTATGAGCTTGCACAACAGTGCGTTCTACATGACCATACATGATAAGCAGTGAAAAGCCCAGTCTACATTAGGATTCTCTTAAATATGATCACTTCCAACCTTTATCAACAATCTTAAAGACAAGATTTTCTGAAACTAATTGACACACCAGATCATTCTTCTCACTCTGCCAAGTGTTTGTGTGGCTGAAGGTACAGATAATAAGCTGCAGAGCAAAACAGTGTAATAGGCAAGGAGGGGGACTTTGAAGAAGGGTCTTTCATCACCAGCACAAGAACAGAATGGCATTTACATGAAATTGATTTTCAGTGGTAAAATTATGCTTGTGATGTTCCATTGTAAATATTGACAGCATTAAAAGGAATGTCTAAAAGACGGGCACTAAAATGTCACCAGAAAAAGGCTGACTAGTATTTATGCTAAATTCCTCAAATTGCATCCCCTTTTTACATAAGTAGTGATGCCTCAAGAAACAAAGCAGATAATTCTCTAGAGCTATGAAGTGAAAGGAAATGAATGTGCCTACATTCATGTAGGAAGACACCCACTGCCTCTCGTCATAATGACATAGGGTTTTTTTCTCCCCATCTTTGAGGATTCTCAGATAAGAAAGCTTACATCTTTCCCATATTGAGCTTAGAGGATGAATAGACAAAATATATCATCGCAAAAATAAAGGCCCCTTTCAAATATTAAAGGATGTCTAGTTATTTAGCAGAGAAACAGTTACTGATGGGACTTAGACATTTGAACTTAGAAACATGTTTGTCTATTTAATGAGGAATTAGACCAGCAACTTGCTAATGATGGGAGGGGGAAAAATCAGACTCTGATGCTTCTCCATTAGTTGTAATAAAACAAAGGCTAAAAGGCACAATCTGAGGATTTCACTCAGCCGAATTTCTAGAAGGTTTTAGTTTGTCCTGTATCATTTTCCACCTCGACATCTAGCAGTTTCATTATGAACGATCAGTAGCCTGTGTACTGTCTAATTCAAGAAAATAAGCAGCAGTCTTGTGATCTCCGATATGATATTTAGAATTATGTGCAATTATTCTGAAAGAAGAAACTGAAGAACTATCCTGGAATTCATTTTAAGAATACCATTACTCACATAGTACATTTATTAAGTAATTTAGAGCAAAATATTTTATTGGGTTGCTAATTATATTACAGAACATTATATTATATTTTTGAGCTTGTGCTAAAATATCCTTGGAATGAATCATAATTCTAGGATTAATAGACTTACGGGTTTTGAAAAAAAGAAAGGTTCTCTTTGAAATATTGCAATTAGTACTTTGCATTGCTACTGAATAATGCTTTCTTTCTCCAGTTATTCTGAGGAATGTAATTTAGAGCGCTTTGTGAAGAATCTTATTATAAATTTGAATTTTGACAATGACATTTTACATCAAGAGTCAAATTTGTTGAGAAACACCAAATGCAGTCATTCTAAGACTGTTACAGAAAATTAAATACCTTCTGCTACGATCAATAACAAGCATATGCATAAAGGTACAGTTGCCATCTCATAAGAAAGTCTATGGATCTCAGAAAGAATCCCAATCGGCCATTTATTTGGGGTCAGCTAAATAGTAAGGCTACTTGTTTAAGTTGAGTGTCTGAGCCAAAGTGATGGGAGAGCTTATTAAAACAGAATAATTGGCAGAAAATAGGGCTGCTCTTCAAATGCCCTCAGAAAACTGAGCTACGAAAAGGTTCAGTGTTCATTTCCTGAGTATCTATTAGACTGTGGCTTTCTAACATGAAGATAGTAGATGAAATCAATAAAGAGCCAATGAAGTAAGTTGCTGGCCTAAGGGAGAAACTTGGCGTGACTTGGCCAAGGTCACCTGGGGCAAAACTGAATTCTGAGCATAAACTTCCTAACTCCCAAATCAAGTCTACACATTATAATTCTCCCAATTTTCTCAGGAAAGGAAATAGTGGATATTGTCCATTTATATCTTTGTTTCGTTATGTCTATATTTGCATGTTTGCCATGATTAAAGGCTAGGGGTTTATAAACTGACTACTTTTGGGGAAAGAAGCACAGGTTTAGAGCTCAGAGTTAGAGCCTAAATTGGAGCCTAAAGCCCAAGGTTTAAAATCTGAAGGCAGGGTTATTTTAACAATTAATGAAAACGGTTTGAAATGGTGAGAAGTAGAGGAAATAGAGATATGTAGGTTTTAGTTGCAAAAACAATCAAGTCTGAATGACTAGCTGTCTGTGGGCAAATAATTTAACCCCTAGATCCTGAGTCTGTAAAATAAAGAAACTGGACTAAGATCACCTTATATTACATAAGATGTTTTACTTTTGGAGGTGCAGAGGGGAGAATCAAAACACAATTTCAACAGATGTTCTGATTCACCCTTAGTCTAATCAAGGTATTGTGCCTCATAAATACCAAGCTTGCAAGATACTCTGTTCAATGAATAAAGTTATTTCTGAACAGATGAATAAGTGAAAGATGTCATTAACATAGGGTGTCATTTTGTAATTAACAATGATGTTAATTACAATGAAATCAATAATAATCAAATTAATTTCTCACGCTCACCACTGTTTCTTTATGATTGTTTCTTACAGATCTGGCTGAATGTAGATACAGTATCTCTATTCTTCCCAAACTCCATCCAATACTGAATTTCCTCTTGCCATCTATTCTGAACACTATTATGTTCTGGGGCTGTAATCTGTTCCATTGATAAAGTCAGTGTCTCCAGCCTTTGTCACCTTCTAAAAGTCAGGGAATGCATCTTGAAGACAGTCTTTTCCCATTTTACATTTCTCCAAGGATCAGCTCAATTCACTAAATTTGAATACGATTTTTACCACTGGATGAGAACTCTAAGGTAATATCATAAGGAAGAGAGACAAGGTGTGCAAGGTTGGTTGAAGATTAAATTGGGAAATAAAAAGCCAGTCATTTATTATCTACCTTAATTTGTCTACCTACCTTTTTTTAGACATAGGTTTTAAGCCAATTCTAAATGAGGGTTTTGATTCTAAAACAGGTTTAAATCATGTCATAGATCACTAGGCATAGATTTGGAAGTCCCTGAAAGTCTAAAAACTGAGAGAAAACGGAGTTTGTTTTTCTCATAAAACATCCTTAATATGTTTTAACAACCTGGAGCCATAAATTTTAGTGTATGTATGAAAGGTGTATGAAGAAAACTTCAGCTTTGGAGCTGGGTCAGCAACCGCTCTGCTGAAGCCCAACCATTCAGCACATATGCTACTTTCTTACCAAGTAGCAAATACCTATAAAGGTAGTAAGTTTAAGTGGCTTCATCTACAGCAATCTGTGCTTAAGCCAGTGTCTAACAAAATCTCATTTGGAAGAAAGGAATCTCCGTTTAACTGGGGACAAAACAATAAGCTATTTCCATCCTCAGCTGAGCTAAGTAATGAAGTGATGAATGCGAAGTAAAGCACCACCCTGGCCAGAGGGGTAGCATAGACCCAGGAGCTTTGTGTGATGGGATCTGCCTGTGGCCAAGGGTCTGAGAGGAGTTGTGTTTGTCTTGGATACCTGGAAGATGAGGAAGAAAGAGAGGAGAGAAGGAGGTTGGGGGGGGGGGGGGTTGGCAACAAGCAGGAGAGTAAGGCAGGAAGCCAGTATTGGGTAGAGGGGGGCAGCAAGTCTTCAATTACACTCCCAAAAGTTGGCTATTTTTATGTCTCAAGTTTCCTCTAATATCCCTGCACTATCTGCCAAATGCAAACCATTTTTCTACTTGTCCACTCTTCCCTTTCTTATTTTAAGGGCCTAATGAAATGAAAATTATAGGGTAAGAAAGGAGATTCTCATAATAAAGTTGTTTCAGGAATAAACACCACAACCGCACATCCCCTCAGTGTTGATCCAGCGCTCTGCCTTGAGCTCAAGAGTTCTACAAAATGCCTGGAATACGTAAAGAACATAGGATAAGATGCAGAACACTCTGAAGACCCCCATAACTTCTAGTCACCATGGGTTTTTTTCAAAGTTTATGGTCATTTTACTTAATTACATTTTCTCCTGAGAAGTATGGAGTGTTGAGAAGTTGGGAACGAAATCGACTAATCTCTATACCTTGTATTATCCTGGAAGGAAATGAGCCCCAAAGCCACTGAACGAATTGTCCTAAAACACATGCAAGTTTGGTGATGATAACAGGATAATGCCCAATTTGGCTAGCATTGCCATGATATTAAAGATGGTATCTGTGCACACTTCTATGAATATCTGTACTTCAGTACACTATTCATTTTTGCTTATTCACAAAACAAAACAAAACAAAAAAAACTTTAGGACTATTATATTTTCTTTTCCCTAATCCATGATTTGATCTCCTGAGACTGATTGAGAATGAATACAGACCTTATAAACAAGTCTTAGAAATGTGATTTCTTTAATGTTTGTAGTATTCTAATGTCTATTAAAATATAATTACCATTAATCTTCAGTTGGTAACACAATAAAAAATTCACTTTTATGGTTCTTTCTGTCTCAGTCAGTAGATTGAATCTTCAAGAGATGTCTCAAATGAAAGTAAATGGCCAGTTAAGAGTTGGAAAATGTATTTGAAATTTTGAATATAATCATCTATATATTGTTTCAAAGAAATTTCAGTATTCGTTGGAAATGTATTCCACTTAGAAAGTCTTCAGTAAGAACCCAAAAGAATAAATACCAACTAAAAGGATAACATTAGTATGTCACACTAATATGAAGAAGAAAGTGTGAAAAAATTAGCCATTAGTCCTTTGGCTGAGGAAAAAAATATATAACTTCTCTAAAGTTTAGTTCTGTCATTCCAAAAAGAATAAAAAACAGAAAACAAACAGAAAATAGTGTTATTCTTTTAAAATTTTCACTGATGAAATGTATGTATGTTCTTTAAACAGATCAGTAAAATGTAAAGTATGGGCACTTACTGCCACCTTGTGGAATGTTTGTTACTATATTCTGAAGTATCTTTTCCTCTATAGCTCTTGGAAGGTCATTTTCTGTTGCTATTAGTTAGAAAATGACTCAATAGTTCCCCCCACAACTAACCAGTACTAATATTATTTACAAAAAAAGACATGAGAAAATGCATGCATTTTTCTTGATGTATTTTGAGTTCCTTGGTTGGAGATTTTATTTCGTCAGTGCCCCTTGTTTTCAGTCATTTACTTATCTACTTCCCCTGTTAAGTGGATTTCACACTTAATTTAATATTTTTACTTGTCAAGGATTCAGAGTAGAAGAAAAGAAACATTAGCAGAGTGTTAACAGGCAAAGAAAAATACGAAGAGCACATTCTGTCCTGGGAAGTTAGGGCAGTCCTAACATCTAGAGCAAAGTCAGTTTGTACTAAGCAAAGCTTGGTCCTGGGATTGGCATCACTTGGGAGATGTTAGAAATGCAGAAATTTGGGCCTTAGTCCAGATCTGCTGAATCAAAATTTGCATTTTTATAAGATACCCAATTGATTCACATACACAGTAAAATTTCAGAAGCACTAGCAAAGGCTACCATATTTCACTCCACTTAGAGCAGAATATGCATGCACATGTACACACACACACACACACACACATACACACACACATACACAACGTTGCTTGGAGTTATGACAAGAGCCAAGCATCAAAACACCTGGCTTCAAGTCTATGTTATTTAATTTTGTGCATCTGAGTTCAAGCCCTAGTAATTTAATTTTTGTAGACCTGAGTTTTTTTCTCCGATAATGTGCAAAAGGGTGTTTACAAGATTATTCTAATGTCGTTTCTCATTCTAAAATTGTTAGTTTTATTATTTATGCCTCAGTTGCTCATTGGGTTTAATATCCATGCGTGAGCAAATTGATCGTCTCAATACTGATTTTGGCCTAATGGTTAAATTTTAAATTCATAGCTTGCAAACCATGTTTCACCTCAGCATAAATGTTTCATCTGGTAAGCAAGGTATTTTAAAATTTTGAAATTATTTACTAACTTTTTTTTAAATTATGATTTTACCACAAACCTTTTGGAGTTTCTTCTCTCTTGGAAAATTAGAAAACCTACCAATGCTTAGCTCACATTTCCACATGGAAGCAATGACCTTCAGTGGGACCCCAATCTGCCCCAGTCCCCACTCAGTCCTATTCTTTATATTGATGCCTGGTCCCTGTTTGCTTTGAGGTCAATGACCTCTGGCTTCGATGGTGTTCTCAATCAAGTGTTGAAACACGTCCAAAAGCTATAATGGACTAAATGAAAACTTGCCCTCCTTCATAAACTCTAATCTTCAAAGCTAAACGGTGTCTTTCTTTGTGGTAGTACTACTTTTATTTAGGGGTAACCACTAGGGGTTTTCATGAAGAAAAATGTACTGAACAATGTGCAGGGGGGTAAAATTATTTTGCACAAGAGAGAATAATTCTGCCCCCATTGAACTTATAGTCTTATAGGGGAGAGATATAATTGAGTAAGTAATTGCAATAACATGTGATGGTGGTTCTGATAGAGTGAGCTGGTCTAGAAGTTAAGTGTTCATAACAGCCTATGAGCTGAGACCTGAAAGGCAATAGTAGCTATCCAGCGACAGGGATGGAAAGAATAATGTTCCAGAGAGGGAACATTATGAGCACAGCCCAAGGGGGAGAGGGAGCATGGCAAGAAATGAAAAGATAAACCATGTTGCTGGAATGAAAAGAAAGAAGCAGAAATCTGACATTAAATAAGCCTCAACAGACAGGACAGTTTTTAGATGTTGGATATTCTCCTAGGAGCAGGGGGAGGTCACTGATGGGGCTTAATTGAATAGTCAACTTTGAGCTTTTAAAGTATCACTCTGACTTAAGTATATGTCTGTGACCGTGCGTACTCACAGAAATTACGGGCATCAAATAAAGTAATATATGCATCGTCATCAAGTTCACAAACTACTTGGCCAAATTGATTAAAAAGATTAATTCATCATGCCCTAGATGCACTGTGGCATAGTAATAGGACTTATGTTTTATATTTTACAACGTATGTTTTATCCTGTTTATGAATCTCTGAGACAGTATGTATAACTTCATTTGGGGGTAATGCTAAAAGCCTAAGTTTGCGCCCTGTTGACAGCGAGGCAGGCAGAGCCCAGCAGCCTCCCAGATCCACTAACACAGACTCTCACTATGTAGAGGAGCCAGTGTTACAGCCAATGCCCTTTCCTCATGGGTGCTCATGAGGCGGAGTGCGTTATCCCTTGACCTTCTGGCTGAAAGCCAGTCTTATCTGGATGCTCCTGCTGCTTCTAAGCAGTCCACAGCTGGGTGACTTATTTAGGATGGCACTTCAGTGTTTTTAAAGCACTCCTTGTGTTCAACCTGCCTTTTTTATCCCGCTTAATGCAACAGCTAAGCACTGCTTGGGCGCCCTGCTGTTGGACGTGGATGGCACATTTCAGTCTGAGTGGAGTTAGATTGTGATTGCAAATAAGAGAGAAAGGTGAAGTCTCCAAAATTAATTTGGATTTACTTATGTTTTAAAAGCTGCACAAATTTTGCCTACTCTCCCCCACCCCCCAAATTTTCCTCCATTGCCCCATTTTATGGCCCCTTTAAAGTGTAGAGTCACTCTCCCTTTTTCATGCCATTATTACCACGAACTAGCAGTTTTCATACCAATTACTCATCATAAGAGCCTTACCCCAGTCAAATTGTGAAAGGGATGTTTCTTCAACTACAAAAATATTTTTCTCTGTTTAGCTCCAGACATCTGAACCAGAAAAAAATCACCTTAAGTGATGAAAAGCGTGGTGTGCAAATCAACTCTCTGGGTGCCTGTGGAGAGATTCACATCCAGGTAAATAACTCTTCAAGCCCCCTGGTCAGGACTTATCAGCGGAGTCCCTTCCAGGCAGGTAGGACTTGAGATGCAGGCGAGAGCAGCTGTGTGCAATGTAGCTTCAAAAGGCAGGCAGATAACTAGACAGATCTGCCTCCAGGCAGGTCCTCCACAAGAGAAAGCCTATCAGACAGGCAACAGTTCTCGCCTGCCCAGAAAATAAAATGGAAGAAAATAAACCCACAGGGGCTGGGGTTCCGAGTCAAGAAACTCCCTCAGCATGTCCTAGAAGGCAGGTCAGCGTGAGGCAGGCAGGGCCACTGGGCACGGAACTACAGAAGCCCAGCCTTAGGCTCCTTTCAACGTTCTTTCTTTCAGCGCAGCAATGTCTCTGGAAGAATAGAATTTCTTTTAATGAAGTACTCACTTAGACTGAGCCGATGCTGAACTGCCTTGCTCTCAAAAGATAAGGGGGAAAGTGTAAGCGCTCGCGTGTGTTTGTTGGGCGAGGTGTAAATGCAGCTGATGTACCTGTGCGTGTATTTACCAATGTTCCATTCACACAGAGTTGTAGCATTGATATGCAGCCCAAGTAATGATTCTTAATATCTTATCTTGAGTTCACAGCCTATGATTTCAGGAGAATTTATTTTTAAGGTGAATACAGAAATCAAATATGAGAAAGGAAACATAGCTGCTAGATTATTTAGCACAGCCACAGCAACAACAACTTGTATAGGCTTGAACTTCCCCGGGTGTAGTGGATCAGAGATAACAGTGATTATAAGATATCCTAAGTCTGTCTTGTACACCCCACCTAGGACTGCCTATTGGTTAGTGTTTTCTGTGAAATCAAGTTATAAATTTGGAAGTCTTAAAAAACAGACCATGAAAGAGCTGAGCAGATAATTGTGACTAACTTAATACCCAGTGTGATAGGCACAATGAAGTCTAAATCAGTGGTTTGATATGTGGCTCTAAATCTCCTGTTTTTAAAACAAATTAGAGCCTGTAAATTTGGTTACATTATACAGTGTATTTTATGGAAGTTTTTGGCTACCCAGACTTATCCAAGGCCAATAGAATCCCTGCCCCTAAATGCTAGCAATATCCCAAACCTGGATCAATCTCCACTCCCCCTGCAAGCCTTAACCATTTCTAAGAACTTGTCTGTGACTATCAGTTCAGAAGCTGACTGCTTCTTATAGAGAAAGAGGTGGAGAAAGGTCAGAGAAATAAGAACAGTGTGATCGTAGATAAGGCCCTGGATAGAGCTAGGGAAGACATGTGAGTAGGACGTTTAGACACTCAGGAGAAAGTCAAGTATGAAAAGTTGAAAAGAATAAAGAGATCCCCTAGCCTAACCGTGTTACCGTGTTAATAGCAACTTCTCCAACTGTATGTATATACATAAATACAGTTGGATATGTATAGCAACTTAAACTTTCCCCCATATATATATATATATGTATACATATATATACACACACACACAGTTGGAGAAGCTGTTATTAACACGGTAACATATATTATATATATATATGTTATAACATATAATATATGTATTTTATATATATAATAAAGCATTATGTAACCAAGCCGTGTTAGAAAGAAGCCAGATCACTGGATGTCTAAGTATGAAACTGTGAGAAAAGATTATAAAATGTGTATAGTCCAGACAACTGAAGTCTGGATTATAGAGACAATAAATGGAAAAAGACACTGAATCAAAAGACATACACACTACATAGCTCCTATCACATTCCAAAAGCATTATTAATTCATCCATCCATCCATCCAAGAAATATTCACTGAGCATCACTTCAGTGTGTTAGGCTCTATGCTCAGCCCTGGGGAATACAATGAACAAAACAGAATCCGTTGTCTTATAAGGCACATGCATTCTAGTAAAGAAGACTGAGAAAAACATAGAGACAAATATGTGCCATGAGAGAAGATTGTGGTAGGACTTTTGAGGTAAAATGAATCAGGTTAAGCGGTAGGCAGATTTCTGCTGGGATCATGATTTCACGGCTTGTGAGTTCGAGCCCCACATTGGGCTCTGTGCTGACGGTTCAGAGCCTGAAGCCTGCTTTGGATTCAATGTCTCCTTCTCTGTCCTTCCCCCACTCACACTCTGCCTCTCTCTCTCTCCCTCTGTCTCTCTCCCTGTCTCTGTCTCTGTCTCTCTCACTCACTCTCTCCCTCAAAAATAAATAAACATTAAAGAAGATAAGAAAATAAACGAGTCACTTTATAAATACGCATTCTGAGAAATATATTGTTATGAAAGAATAAACATATCGACAATGTTTCCTGAATGTGTTTCTATCCTTCTCATCCCCCAGGTGATTATGATGTGCACACAAGGTGGAGCAAGGCCTTAGACCACATGGCATTGGCATTAAGTAAAATTCAACTGAATTCCCTGGGCTGGACAACACAGACCACCAGTTCTAATGAAAAGCAAAAATGTCTAAACTGTAAAGCTTAGTCAAAACTAACGCACAGGACTGAAGCAAATTTGCTAATAATCTAGAGGTGTAAAACCTTCCAAAACAAAGTTGCCTCCCTTGAATTGTCCCTGTGTTCTCTACAGATTGATCTAACTCACTGAAAAATTAATCTCATTTTTACTTCTTCCAGCCCCAATAGGACACAGCTGCACTCGTGTTCATCTCAACTGATGGAGTGAAGAAGCCTCATCTTTATTCAGTGTGAAGCAGCTGCCAAGAGAAATGGCCTTTGAGAGAGGTAATAAGTTCATGAGGATCACCTATGTCGTGCAAAACAATATTTGATTTTTTTGAAAGTTTAAACCGATTGGAAAGAACATATGAATTAAGTATCTTGCTTGTGGGTGAAAAGTTTTGCTGTAGGGTGATGGAGTGCACCATCAAGGTGATACATTTCAGACATCGCCTTCCTGCGACACGAGGGAATCACGGAGCAAATGGAACAAAGGAAATTACGGCCCACTGACCAGCACGGATTCATAACACAGGAGTGCTGCACAAATATGCTCTATTCTTATCACAGAGAATAAGACTTTGGACAAAAAGAACAAATGCCAAAGCACAGGATTCCTCTGTGTCGGAACATATTCTACGAAACAGGGCCGTGATGGAAATGTGTGATATATTTGGGAAACTATTCTCTGCTCCTCACAAATGGTTCACCTTCCCTTTTCATCTTCAAATTCTAAATTTCTCCCTTTCCTCCTATTCTATTGATGCAAAAGCGTTTTGTCTGACTGCTAACAAAGCCTCAGTGCTATGCTCCAGAGGAGATTCTCTCTGCTCTTGTCTGTCAAACAGATGACATATGCTCCGTTTAACAGAACTGCTACCAAGGGGAGACACATACTCTCCAAGAATTACGAAGCAGTTCTCCTAGACTCATCAAGCTTTGACCTTCTAATAGAAGATAGTATTTCCTTTAAGGTGCCATAATATTGAAACTGGGAATGAAATATTGAGTTCTTTTACCGGGAAAAAAAAATGCAGAATAAAAATAAACACTGGCAAATCTCCCAATACATGTCATGGGCTATTATAAGTAATTTACATTTATCTATTAATTTACTTTTTATAAGACTCTTTAAAATCCCATTGTATAGATGAGGAAATGAAACGGAAATCACAAAGCTGGGTCACCAGCTCATAAGTGACAGAGTCAGGATTTGAACCTAGGCAGTGTGGCTTTCTAGGCCTGATTTGACCTCTTAAATACATTATGTTACACTTCTACAATATATTTTGGTTGGGGAATGTAAGGATTCATAGACCTTCGAAAAATTTCCAGCTGAAGTGCTCATTTTTCTGATATAAAGAGTCTAAAGAAAAGAGTATATGATTGTCTTTCTGGGATAATTATAATATAGTCCATCTTCTCAGCAGGTTATTATACTGATTTTGTCTTTGTGTCCTTTCTGTAACATTGCAATAAGCAATAGAAAAATCTACAATGTTCTTTCAGGTCCACCTCTGGCTTGCGGTTGACTTTCATCTCCAATGTATTTATCTCCACTCATAAACTTGAACTCTTCTTGCTATTGTCTCCCATTCTAAGCACAACCCAGGTAAAACCTCTGTAAAAATTGTGTGCTTTCTAGTTCTGAGTGAGTTAAGTATTCACTTGCTCATGTCCCCAGAATAATCAAAGTGTTTAGATTATTTTCATTATTATATATATTATTATGAATACATTCATAGTATACATTCATATTATTTTCATTTAGATTACTTCATTATTACTTTCTTATTTTAAGTTTATTTATTTATTTTGAGAGAGAGAGATAGAGAGAGAGAGACAGCATGAGCAGAAGAGAGGCAGGAAAAGAGGAAGAGAGAGAGCCCCAAGCAGGCTCTGTGCTGGGCTCAAACTCACAAAACTGTGAGATCATGACTTGAGTTGAAAACAAGAGTCAGATGTTTAACTGACTGAACCACCCAGGCACCCCTCATGGTTACTTTCAATAAAAGCTATATTCATCTATAAGGAGAATCCTGGGCAGGTTGGTCTAAGAGATCTGAGCACAATGCAAAAGATATTAGACAAACAGGTTGACTAAATTAAATATGGTTCATTAATGTATTTGCAAAGGACCAAAAACTGTTATACTAAAACCAGAAACTCCTCTCTAAAGCTTGGGTAAATTTCCTGTAAATATATGTCATGGTCACTAGGCAGGAAAGCATAAAAAGATAACCTCCATGTTGTCCTCACTAATAATAGGAAAGCATCTCACAGAGTGTATCTTTTGTGCCAGGTTATGTAACACACATAGGTACTCTCAGAGTGGCTTCAAATATAAGCAAATACAATTCAATTGATAAGGCTGGATCAAAGAAAACTACACTGAAGAATAAAGGGGTCACAGAAAAGAGGTCTGAAGGATATATATGACATATATGGAAGGACTCACCTTTCTTCTCAGACTCATGCCTCATATCAGGAGGAGAAAGCCAGGCATTGGAAAGAAACATGGTGCCATTTAATGTCAAGTAAATAAAAAGAGGACTTCTTTATGTAAACCATGGCCTGAAGATTAGAGACTAGAAAAACGGTTGGTGCAAAGTGATTATAAGAAGCCCAGTCTTCTAGCCTGTGAAATGCCTCTGGGGAACATCTGTAAAACAGAGCGATGGAGCCTTGTGCACATGGGATTAGAAACTACATGAGGCACATGGGTACCTACATAAAGTATACCACACAAGGTACTACATAAGGTACACTACTCAAGGCACATGGTTTTCCATTGCTTCTGTATGTTTACAAACTAGATGTATCACCAGAGAACTTAATCAGAAGTCTGCTTGAATTTATTTGCAGTCTTGGTGAATTCACCTCAGGGAGAATAATGGAAAAGTTAACACACGGTGTCAAAGTGCAATCACTCTCTGCTGCCCTCCCAGCTCTGTCCCCATCACCCCAACAGCAGGAAAAAAAACATACCTTTACTGTGAAATACAAGGTAGAAAAAGTAACTCACTGACAGATGTCAATTTTACCACTTCCCCAGAAAATACTGACGGACACATTCCATGACCCAAGAATAAGAAACCTGTCACGGAAGTTACAATAAATACTTTAAAGTTGAAGGCTAGTGTAAACATACATAAATGATGGAACTTCTTTGCCCAAGATCTCCTAGGTTCTCACGGCCTGCTTCTCATATTCCCAAGCTGTTTAGCTTCCATTCACTTCCTTCCTTCCAGATATTTAATTTCATGCATTGGTTTTATGACCAACTTTGAATACCATACTTTGACTCCCCGTAAGTAATGCTATTCACTACTGCAATAGTCCATTCCTTTCCTGACCTTTCCTCCAGGGAGTCACAATTAAGTCCTTTCCTCCATTAAATAAGAAATGTCTCTTATTGGCAGTTTGCATTATTTGCTCAAGAGTTATATAGTCAAAAACAAGAAATAAATCCTTACAAAGAGTTGTCAGGTCTGTGTGGTCAGAAAGTAATCTAATCCCGTCCCTCAAGAAGTCTTATTCTTGCAGATCATATCAGCCAGGGAATACAATAACATTGTAGTCAACATTTTCCAAACCAAAATACTCTGGCCCATTTCTGACCAGGAGCATAGTAACAATAGCACACTGTTCTTTTGTTTTACATGTATGGAAAAGCAGATAATTTTCCATATATCGAAAGCAATCAAACTCAGAGGAGCTCACCAAGTATCTTAAATACATGCTAAGTAGCTATAGTAAAATACTTTATATGTTACATAACAGCAGCTATTTCTTCTTTTGTGATTCCCCCAAATACTTAGTAACTTACATTTTTTTTTATTATGCTTCAATAATTGCTCCACAGAAGTGGAGACCATGCCCTTGGCTTATACTCTTAATACACCATAAACCGCAAAATCAACTTTTTTGTGCTCTGCTTTTATTGCAAAATCTCCAGTTACCCTATACACAATTTCAATAACTCTCATTTAATCGGTTTTCCGTCCTACCCTTCTGGTTCCACACCCTAGTGTTTGCCTAGAAGACCCCTAGAAGCCCATTCCAGTACATTTTTTTCTCTCCTTTTCCTATGACTCCTAACAGATGTCTCCTCACTAGGCCTTTTCATGTAAACTTTTTCTTCCCAAGAAGACACTGCTTCTTCACCCAGACAGACGCTGCTGTAGGTGACAGTGCATGCAGAAATTCTGTTTCTGAATAGAAACTTTGGGGACCATTACAAATAATCCTCAATACTTTGACTTTTTAAATTACATGGACATTCTATTTGTAGGTAGGATGTGGGAGATCCCATGCTCTTGTGATCTCATTATCTTATGGCTTCAAAAGCCTAAGGGACTTCCAGTCTCAAAATATCACAATCCATTTCAGCCCTTTCTTTGTACATAATGCCCATGTTCCAATAAAAAAAAGTTACAATATATGTAAAGAAGCAGGTAAATGTGACCCTGATCAATAATCAAGAGAAAAATCAGTTAATAAAAATGGACAAACAGCAAAAATGCTGGAATTATAAAAGAAGAACATAAAAATAATACCGATAAATTTGTATAGGAATCGACAGGATATTATAAATATAATGAGCAAAGAAATGTGAAACTTCAGGAAAGATTTAAAATCTATAGAAGAAAACCAATATAGAAATCCTGAAACTAAGATGGGAGTATTTCAAATAAAATATTCTCTGGATGTATTTCAGAAACATATTGGACACACCAAAGAATCAATACACTTGAAGACAGAGCATTTAGAAATCACTCAAACTAAATTAAAAATAGAAAAAGATTTAAAATAATGATTAAAGTGTAACAGTATTGAGCAGTCAAACATATATTCTTGTCATACTGGAAAGAAAGAAGGGGAAAAATGGCACAGCTAAAATATTAGGTAAAATAATGGCTGAAAGCTTTCCAACATTGGTTATAAACATCAAGTCAGAGATCCAGGAAGGCTAGTAACACCAAATATAATAAACGCAAAGATAACAGCCCCCAAGAATATCATACTCAAATGACATAAACCAAAATAAAGAAAAATATCATATGGGGAAGGGGTTCAAGAGGGCAGCTCAGGAAGATCCTGAACTCACCCTCTCCTATGCACACATCAAAACTACAGTCGCATATGGACCATTTCCCTCTGAAAAAGATCTGAAAACTAGGTGAACAGGTTCTCCTCAATTAAGAAGAAAAGAGCCACATCGAGAGGTGTAGGAGAGGCAGAGACCAGGTCTCGGCCAAAAACCTTGCCCCCAGCCCAGTGATACATAACAGGGAGGGATCTCATCAGCCCAGTTCTTTTCCCAGAGAAGCAAGGGGTTGGTTCCCCACATCAGGCACTCTGGTCCTTGGGAGAGGACATGAGAGATGAGCTCCCAGAAGTGCCTGGCTTAGCAAAACAAGGGACCTAAAGTGCTATAGGAAACTGAGATTCTCCTTTTAACGGGCTCGCATGCAGTCTCACTTACCCCAGGATCCAGTGCAAAAACACTAGTTTGAAAAGTGCCTTCATTGTACATGAAGGAAACTCATTTTCTGGTTTGGAGGAGTCTGCTAGAGAGCCACGGGACAGTTGAGGCTCTCTCCAAAGACAGAGGCACCGGCAGATGCCATGCCGTTACTGTCCATCTAACCTGTGGGCATAATTGGGCCCACTCGATGTAGCACCCTTCCGCTGCCTCACTGGGACAAGCAAAAGCAAGGGGTTGTGATGCTGTCCCACTGCCTTGCACACACAAACGGGGTGGCCACGGGGACTGGTGTTTTTTAGCTGACTTCAGGACTTACTCTAGAGCTACAGTAATTAAAACATGTGGTAGAGGCAAATGATAGAAAAACAGATCAACGAGCTGGAATTGACTCTAGTACTGGAGCCGCAGACATATGGTTGATTGATTTCAACAGAACTCCCAAGATACTGAGAGAAAAATGCCTTTCCAGCAAATGGTGTTCAAACAACTGGGTCTTCATATGGAAAAAAAATAAGAGCCCCACCCCTACCTCATAATATATACCAAAATTAATATCAAA